TGGGAGGCTGTACACCTGGATCACTCCTCTGTCCTTCGTCACTCCTCCTTCTTGTAGCTTATATTTAAAGATCTATACCCCTAGCATTATTGAAAGATCAAGTAAACCTACAATAATTGGGTTTACCTATGAATAAAAACACAAACTCTTGCCTCTACACACACATGAATCAAGCTACCCAAGCAGGGAACATATCTACTCTCAGAAATGATCTAGGTTCCTTCTGTCTTCTGGCTCTGTCATGTTTACCTCTTTCCCATGATGGTCCAAGGTAGATGTCTTTGTTCCATTCATCTGCCTGCATTCTAGCCACTAAGCAGACAGCTAAAACAAGTATGAATGCACCCTTATTCCTTAAGAGTACTTCCTGAGGCCCGGCCATGCCGGTCCCACCCCTGGGGCACACTGAGATGGCAATTGAGACTGGGCATGGTGGTGTACACCTGTAATCCCAGCTCTTGGGAGGCTGTAAACAGGCAGATCACTATGAGTCCAATCTAGTAGACCCTGAACACCCCGTGGACTCTTCCCTAAAATACAAAAAATAAAATATGTACTTTCTGGAGTCAAGTACAGTGTTGCACACTTGTAATCCCAGCCCTCTGGGAATCTGAGACATGAGGATCACAAATTTGAGCCTCACCTGGGCAATTTAGTAATTTATTAAGATCTTGTCTCAAAATAAAAAATAAACTGGGCATGGTGGTGCATGCCTATAATCCCAGTACATGGTAAGCTGAGGCAGAAGGATTGCCATGAATTTGAGGCCAGCCTAGACTACATCATGAGACCCTGTCTCAAAAGAAAAAAACTCTAATAATAATAATAATAACAGTAGCAGTAGAAGTAGTAGTAGTAATAAAATAAAAAGTTCTGGGTATACAGTTCAGTGTGAAAGCCCTGGTTCAATCCCCAGTATTACAAATAAACAAGAAACATTCCTGAAGTCACATATACCACCCACCCCTAACTGCAATGAATTATGGGTAAGACATTTTTCATTTGAAGCAGGTAAAATCAGGATTAAAGAAAGAAGAATAGATATTGGGTGTCCAGGAGCAACACCTCTATAGAGCCATTTGGATCCACTACAGTCACAGGCTTCATGCAATAAGTCATGAGAATTTTGTGAATTTTCATTGGCTTGACAGCTGTCTTGTCCTACCAATGTCTTACATATTTCCAAAATGATCAACTTGAAAGTTATGACTGTCATGTGTCAGCACTGATTCTGTCCCCAGATGTCCTGTCCCAGGTGAAGGTGTAAAAGTCAGGCACAGGGTTGGTGAAGCCAGCGCAGACCCTCTCTCTCTCTGCATGGCCTCTAGGTTCTCTATGACCAGTAGTTCCTGCTGTTATTATATCCAGTAGCCCCAGCAGAAGATAGTGACTATCCAAAACATAGAAATACAAATTCTGTCCCATAGCTAGGAATGGACTCCAGACCTCCAGAAACATATCCAAGAACCAGTTCTCTCTGCAGTGCAACTCTGGGACCCTCAAGGACACAGTTCCATATATTGTGAGAGAATCACAAGGAGGGAACCCAGGGTGAAGCCACACACACACCTCCCTGTAAAGCCACTTAGAACCAGCAGGGGGCACTCAGCATCAAGGGCAAATCTGCCAGGTAGTCAACAAGGGTTCCCATACTGAGACATTGATGAAAGAGTGACTCCAAGCCTTGAAGCATCAAAGATATTACTTGGAAATAGGTAAATTTGTGGCATAAGAAGCAGCTCAGATACTTTAGATCCATGTATCAAGGAACTGGCAAGTGAAATAGAAGACAATTCACAGAACATATAAGTCTAACAATATTTTCCACTGCAAATGTATGGATTCAGTTATTAAGAACATGCCAATTCTTTCAGCATGTGTGATTTGAAGACTAAAGTGGTTTGAAGGATGAGATTCACTTTTAGCTTCACTGCCAATAAAACTACTAGCTACAGACCATATAAAACTATGCAGCATTACATTGGTAAGTAAATGCGGTTGAAGGTTAGCTTGTTGCACTGTGTTCTGATGGCATAACTGCTATGAGAGGGAAACCCTTAAGCAGTCTCCTCAATAATGAAAGTGTAAGTCCGTCCACCACCATTCCCTTCTTGGAGGGAGTATTTCAGCCTCTGTATTACAGAGGTACCAGCTGACCCAAACTATGTGCTCAGAGATGTGGCATGGTGATGACTCCCATAGAAACTAACGGTTTCACCTTGAGATGAACTTTTTAGTGATGATATGGAAGCTACGTGAAAACACTTGCTAGCACATTTTAAATATGATGGTTATCAGACAAAAATCAACTACAGAATGTACTTGTAGTGTTTCTGCAAGGAAAGAAAACCCAGTTTTGTCCCAGCTCCTTAACAACATAAATTAGATGCTACTTGAAGTGGGTGTGTGGTAGCATAAGTACACACTGATGATAAGGGTCCAGGTGAGAAGTTGGTGCTGCAGGAAGATGACACAAGGTCCCCATTTAGTGGGACATGATAAAAATGTAGTGACAAGATGGCTGTCTATCAATCAATGTGAAGACACATGCCCCCATCCACCCAAACTGTACTACTGAGGATTCAATCCAGGACATTTACATTGAGCTACACAGGCCACATTTTTGATTTTGATACAAGGTCTTGCTAATTTGCTCAGGCTGCACTTGAATTCACAATCTTTCCGCAGTCTCCCAGGATGCTGGGATTATAGGCATGGGCCACCATGCCTGGTTGATGGATCATCTCTTATAAGATGAGGAACTGCAACAAAGATGCTTCAGAAACAAATGCAGGAAAGCTTGATGATGGATTTGCATGATATTTTTCTGTTTACTTCCATGTCTCAGCGAAATAAGAGCCAAAGCAGAGAGAGAGAGAGAGAGAGAGAGAGAGAGAGAGAGAGAGAGAGAGAAGGCAACATGATAAGGAGCCATCTCCAGGTATAAGAAAATACCCTCCTGAGGAAATCCAGCAGAATTTCAGCATTTAAGGACCCCCCCCTAAGGTTATGGTCTTGAAGAGAGGGGTGGCCATGTTCTGTGTACCAAGAGAGACAGACTCTTGTTCTTAAGAAACAAGGGTGAGGAAGCAGAAGAGGACAGATGTGGCACAGTGTGACTGCCATGATGGTCCAACAAATGAAACATGGGTTGGGAACAGCATATAGGTCCAAACAACTACTGACCTCAGGCATTCCAGCGACCAAGCCTAGAGATGAGATGATCTGAGTGAATGCTTGACATGAAAATGTGGAAGGTGGGAAGTATCAGAATTGTCCTGGACTAGAGAATAACCTTGCAGCAGTGACCAAAGCAGGCAGAGTGGGGAAAGGGTGATGGCGTGGTGTGTTAGATGGATTATGTGGACAATGGCTCAACTAGAAATGATACCAGAGGAGTGAGGAGAGAAAGAGTAGAGATACTGGTGCTCAGTAGTTCCATGATACTGTCAGCAATTGGAGGCTGCTAGTATCAGGAAGGGCCACAGAAGCAATACCAAACAGCATGTACTGCTCCAGGCTGGGACTGAGGAAGGAGAAAAACAGCAACCTGGATGCCACAAAGGGAAGCTATCTGCAGTTCTCATGAAGGACAACAGAGAAAAAAGGGACAAATGCTGGATCAGACTGTCTCTGATAGGACCAGGACTATATATTAGAATCTTTTGAAGATTTTCAGAACTACAGATGTCCAAACCTGTTCCTGGGGATGCTGCACCATTGGTCCCAGCAAGGGCAGACTCCAGAGCCAGTGCTCAGAGACCTCCTCCCCCCATGCCTCCACAGTAGTAGGGGTAGACTAGCTCTGCTCGGCATATTTCACCCACAGGGTTGTTACAGATTACTTCAGTATTTTTTTTTTTTTTGGTTTGTTTTTTGGTTTTTGGTTTTTGGTTTTTTTTTGTGGAACCGGGGATTGAACTCAAGTCCTTGCACTTGCCAGGAAAGCGCTTATTCCATTGAGCCATCTCCCCAGTCCCTACAGATTACTTCATTATGCATCATTTCTCCTATATCTTTGGAATTACATGTATAAGTGGGTTATATCATCTATGGATTTAATTTTATGCCAGCAAAGGAGTTAGAGAAGATTCAAAACCCCTATAAATAGGGACAGTGCTCAAGGGTACAGTGCAGGTTTTGGGGCTGGTGTCTAGCCAGGAGACACTCAGGACAGGGTGATGAGAGTTAGCTGGCCAGACAAGGGCTTGGATGTGCTAAAGGTCACTCTGGTGGTGCAACAGTAGAATGTGGGTTGGGCAGCTCTGAACAGGCAGACACACTTAGGGGCTGCAGGCGAGTTTCCTATGGGGGCCACCAGACACCAGATGGCAGCAGAGGACAGGTGGCAAGGAGCCAAGTCACAGTGGCTGTGCTAGACTCAAGCCCCTCTGAAACAGCAGCTCTGGAAAGATTTGGCTTAGAGCCAGGTGTTCCCACCTGTTTTACTTGTGATGTGCACTGAGACCCCCATAGCCCTTCCTTATTTCTTGCTGTGACCACGCCCCAAGTATAGGTCCTCCAAGCCTTTCAGACCACCTTCTCTGCCCTGAATGCTGCTGCCTGCTTCAAGCCTCCTGCAGCACTGAGTACCCATTCCCTCCCATCCCATCTCTGTCCCCTTCCTGTCCGCTACCCCATCTGAGAAGTGTGGAGGGGAGATGCCCACCCTACTAAAGGACAGACACAGTGCTACAGCTTCAAGGACTTGTATGACTAGAAGGCTTTGGGTCTGGCCCCACCACCCCACTTCATGCAATGACAGGACCCCTCTCCTGGGTTTACCATAGTTGGGTCTCACTCCTAACCACCCAAACTCATTTACTAACAATTTTTGTTGCTGACCCAAGCCTAGCACTGCTTGGCACCCAGTGGATATGCCTGGCCCCAGCTCACTTGCTAGGTCCTGATGGACAGGACAGGCCTGCCCCTGGGCAAGGTGCCACCTGCTAAGGCATAAAAGCCTTGTGTCTGCCTAGGTAGCTTCTGAGACTGCCACCATGAAGAGAAGCAGCACTCTCCTGTTAGTGGCCCTCACTGTGCTCTCCACCTGTGGTAAGTCTGGGCCAGGTTTTCAGCATATTCAGGGGTAGGGTTCTGGGATATAATGGATACCACCTACCTCCTAGACAGATCATCCACAGAAGAGCACAGACGATGCTAACCCCAATCTCAAACCAGGCCCACTCAGCCCAAGGTCACCCACTCCAGCTCAATCCAGCATGACCCCAACTCTGAGCCTTACCTCAGTCTAGTTTAACAACAGGGAAGGGAAGGAACACAGAGTAGAAATTGGATGGTGAGATTAGGGGTGTAAGGGAAAGGGTCTGTGGTACATGGGGCTGCACTGTTGCAGAGGAAGATGTGATAAAGACCACAGAGCTCAGAGGCCCAGGGTGGGCACTGTCCTGGTGTCATCTTCCCTTACAACACAGGGCTGGCCAAAGGGGAAGACGACAGTGAATTCTTCATGGAGTTCCTGCAAGTGCTGCTGGTTGGAAGCCCAGAAGAGCTCTATGAGGGGCCACTGGGCAAGTACAATGTCAACCAGAATGCCAAGGAGGCACTGACAAAGCTCAAATCCTGCATTGATGATCTGCAGCCCAACCACAAGGCGGAGCTGGTGCAGTTGCTGGTACTGGGGCCCAGGGAACCCCTTTCCTCAAGCCTAAAGTCTTTCTAAGATCTGCCCAATATATGGGCCCCTGGTCACCAGTCTAAGGCAGCATCCCACAGCCCATCCCCCACAGATACCGAGGTCTAAGGTGGATACCCTAGATCTCTCTACCCACAGAGAAGCTCTGAGGATCCCTCAATGTGTTCCCTTCCCAGTTGCTCCTACACAAGTTTGTGTACACACAGGTGCACACATGCATGCACATGCCTCCCAGCTGCTGGGGAGTATGATACAATGGGCCCGCATCCATCTCTCTCAGAAGGGGCCCTGGTTATCTGCCTCAGGGAACAGTGGCTCTCTGGTTATTTGTCACCAGCTCACTGGGCCCACATACGTCTGCCTTACAGGAGCAAGTTCTGGGCAATGAGAATGATGCCTGAGTGGACCTCAGACACGGCTCCCAACATCACAGGACCAGACACACCAGAAGCCCTGGATGTGCTGCCTATGGCTCCTTCCCAACAAGTAAACTGACCCCCAAACTGTTAGATCAATAAAGCCTCCTTCAGCCCAGTCACTGGCTTTTATTTCTTCCCTAACAGGGACACACAAAACACCACCTACAGCACAATCAGGCATACAGACTCAGATATCTGGGGATCCCAGCAGACACCACGTAGCAGGAGATGGAGCGTAGATCCAGGGAGGCATCAGGAGGAGGTCTGAGTGGCAGAACCAGGGCAAGCACAGCTCAGAAAGAAATGTCCAGGGGAAAAACACCCTGGAACTCCATCCATGCTGGGATGCTAAGTCTGAAAGCTGGTGGGTGACTTGGGAGTACAGCTGTGCATGGCAAAAATGTGACAGCATAGGCAGCAAATGCATAGGAATAAGGGGCTTTGAGAAGAATCTTTCCCCTAAGTCACTCATAGAGAGAAGCCTCAAGTGCAGTCTGAGCCCAAGAGGGCCCTGACAATATCAAGAAGAGGGCACCCAAGGGCCACTACAGTGGAGTGGGCCAGCTGGGTCTAAGGAAGGTCAGCAGGAGTAGCTCCCCACCTTGGCTCCTGCTCAACACAACACATATCCCTGACTCCAGACCCATGATCTCTGACCAAGATTTCCCTGTGCCTCAGTCTTCCCAGCTCAGAAATTCTGATGGAGCAGGGCTGACTGATCACCTCACTTGCTCCTGAGCTACCTTGGGCTTGAAGTAGCCCTCTCAGTATACCTCCCTTGTCTCAGACACCCCAAAGAACACAGGATCTGGTGAGAGGAGAGTCTGTAAGAGGCAGGGGTCCCCGGAGATGGTGGCGTCCCTGACCAGGTGGGTCCCTGAGAAGAGAGGGGCCATCACACTCCCTGTGATCTAGAACTCTCAATCCCACAAAGCCACATTCTAGAGCTCAGGGACCCCTCCCCAACTTTCAGAGTTCCCAGGGAGAAAGGATTCTTTTCTGTGTTCTTTTATCGGGAACTGACTGGTACTGAGACCAGGGGAAGGGGACCACCTACAAGGAGGCTGGGTGGCAGGCCACTCTGAGCTGCCCCACTCCAAGTAAGGTCCTGAGCCCTCTACCCAGCCACAGCACAGCTCTACCCCCAGGAGATCTTTATCAAGCGATGAGCAGGGTTGTTTTTAGTAGAAAGCGCCTTCCCAGGCCCTCTGAGAGCCAAGAGGATGGCCAGTCACTAGCCAAAGGGACCAAGGACAGGACCTGGCTCCCCTCATTTTGGAGCTGGGGAGGGATGAGCCCAGCCCACCAAGCAGAAAGTTCCCACTGCCCCTGCTTGAGACCCTGTGGAGGCTTCAGACTGTGGCTCTGCCCCTCAACATCAGCAGGACCAGGGTGGGGCTGTGGGGTCAGGGATAAGAAAAGCCAAGACTTCTAAGAGTGGTCACTCTTGTCCACAGACAGCCAGCCATGACGGAAGAGGTGTGGGTGGGCACCTGGAGGCCCCACAGGCCCCGGGGGCCCATCATGGCCCTCTACAGCAGCCCTGGCCCCAAGTACCTGATTCCACCCACCACAGGTCAGAAATAAGGGCCTGTGGGACTGCATGGGAGTGAGAATGCCAGCTTGGGGTGGGTCTGGGTGCTCTGGGTGGCCTGGGGTACATCTGGGTTGGTACCCCAGATGCCAGATGCTCCATCCCAGACTGCTAGTTGGGGCAAAGCAGTACCTGGATCCAGGCTGCTCAGAGCCACCATATCAACAGGCTTTGTGAAGCACACACCCACCAAGCTACGTGCTCCAGCCTATAGCTTTCGTGGAGCCCCCATGCTCCTGGCAGAGAACTGCTCCCCAGGACCCCGCTACAGTGTAAACCCTAAAATATTAAGGACCGGCAAGGATCTTGGCCCTACCTACTCCATCCTGGGGCGCTACCACACCAAGACCATGCGGACCCCTGGCCCGGGTGAGAGTCCTCACACTCCCAGCCTAGGGAAGAGGGGCTGTCCCTGCATCATCCCCACTGTCCATCCTAGAGGGCCACTGTATGTCCTACTATGTCAATGTAGGGTGTGCTTTGTCTATCCTGTCCCCTCTTTCTACTCTCAGGGCACCATCAGGCCTTAACCCACATTGTTGCTCCAAAACAGCTCCTGTCCCCCAGCCCCAAAGCCAGATTTCTATCCTGGATACTCCTGGCCAAACCTGCTCACTTGCTGCCTGCACTAGGGCCCAGAGCCTTGTGCCTGAAAGGTTGGGATATTATTCGGGGGTGGGAGGTATTTGCACCCTCGTTCTTGTACCCTTTCTCTCTGCCACAGGTGACTACTTTCCAGAGAAATCTACCAAGCATGTGTTTGATTCAGCACCCAGCCACTCCATCTCTGCCCGGACTAAGACATTCCGGGTAGACAGCACTCCAGGTCTGCAGCAGCATACAATCACCTGGACAACTGGTGTTTGGGTCCCCCAGGGGTAGGTGAGGAGCAGTTCAATGGCAGGTGGAAGCTTCTCTGAGCTCAGGCCTGAAGCTCCTATCTGCCCTGCAGGCCCCGCTGCATACATGCTGCCAGTGGTGATGGGACCACATACTGTGGGTAAGGCATCCCAGCCCTCCTTTTCCATCAAAGGCCGCAGCAAGAGGGGCAACTTCAGCGATGATCTGCACAAGGCAAGGGTTACTCTGCCTCAGACAGGGCATAGTCCCTAAATTCTAAGACTCCCAGCCCACCACTGTGCTCCTGAAGCACCTTGCAACCTGTGCCCTCTGAATTTCTGGGGAGGAGCAGCCAGGGTAAGAAGCAAGGGAGACAGTATCAGAGCTCAGGACAAGCACAGGGGTAAAGGCTACTTAGAAAGTACAAAACACTTTTAAAATGCTTCAGGACAAAAGAAGAAAAACTAAGCCCTGGGACATCTGGGGGAGGAAAGTTCCTGCTCTGTTAACAGGTAGTGCAAAGGCCCTGGGACACAAGGCAGCACCAACACACAGTGCTCTGGCCTACTGCCAGCCCCAGGACACAGCCCCCAAGCCAAGGACAGTGCCTCAACTAAGAAGGGCCTCCTACACGTGCTCCTAGGACTGGCACACACTGGGAGCATCACGGCCACAGTACGGCTGACATAAAGGGGATGACACTCCCAGAGGTGCCCCGTGTGAGACAGCCATCTCTGAGCTCCTCGTGGGGACTCAGGGTCTGGAACTGTCCCTGCCCTTGGCACTCTGGGGTCACATGCCATGGGCAAGGGAAACCTGTCTGTGCCATCTTCACCTCCCAGACCCCAGGTCCTGCAGCATACCGCCAGACAGATGTGCAGGTGACCAAGTTCAAGGCTCCACAATACACCATGGCAGCCAGGGTGGAGCCTCCAGGGGACAAAACTCTCAAGCCAGGACCAGGAGCCCACAGCCCTGAGAAGGTCTGGGAACAGCAGACCAGAGGGTTTAGGGGACTCAGGGACATGGCCCAAGGGGGCAGGAGGGGAAAGGATACACTCTGTAGGGACCTCAAGATAGTACCCCCACCCCAAGAGCAACCCATCAGGCACAAGGAACCAGAACCATCCTTTACACCTGGCAGCAGGCTACTGCTGAACGTTGGTTCAAGGGATCAGTATCCAAGCCCAAGCCATTGCCAAGTCCTCTTCACAGCTTTTCCTCTCCTAGGTGACCCTGCACAAACCCTGTGCCCCCATTGTTACTTTCGGCATCAAACACTCAGACTACATGACACCCCTGATTGTCGACGTGGAATAGCTCCAGTCCTACAACCTACAGCCTGGATCCATCTCATGCCTCCACAACTCCCAGGGCAAATGCAGGTTGAATGGCTCCTTCTGAGCACAGCCACAGCAGGGGGATAGTGCAGGACAGAGCATGCTTGTTTAGACAGTTGTGACATTTCCTTTTTTAAGATTTTTTTTTCTATGCTATCTTCCCATTTGCTAATAATCTTGCTTCCTGTTGTGCCAAAATTTAATAAACCATGGATTTCAATTATAAGGGTTTGTCTTGGGAAGAACCAAGCTTATCTACAGCTTTCAGTGCAGGCCCATGAGGCCTCAGCCCTGGCTTCTAGGTCTTCAAAGGGTGACCTGAAAGCCCTGCTGCACACCTACAGTCCCTTAGAGAACTAGGATCCACATCCTGCCCCTTGAATCTGGACTACCCCGGATAATGGGGTACAGAAGTGTTACTGCACAATGCCTTCCACATCACTGTGTGACAAAGCTTGATACATGTGAGTGGCTTTTGGTGACAGTCCAAGGCCCTCTGCACCTGAGGCCTCACCATGGTAACGAGCCAGCCACGCCCACTGGGCTGACTCAAATTCTGGCAGTGACAATAAGACATGATGGACCACTGTTACTATGTTGAGTGACTAAGTTCCAGGGAAATCCATTACCAAGGGCTACTACAGGATGTGTGCAGGGACACTGGCCAAACTCAGCTGGGCCTGGGGATCTGCACAGGTTTCCCAGCCCCACAGCTAGGCCTTAAGACTCCCCTTGGCTCAAGAGATCCATGCTGGGCAGGCAGCCTATAACACACACCAAGAGGCCAAAACCTATGCCAGCATTAGTACAGGTGCTGACTCCTCCACTGTGACCAGCTCTACAATCATCAAACTTCAGAACCTGGACAGAGAAGGGCTGGTGGCAGGGGTTGGTGGGCCTATGGCTGTCCTGCCCAAGGCTGAGCCAAGGTGGGGGATGAGGGATCCAGGAAGAGGAAGCCAGGGGCTCTATACAACCTAAAATAAAACCTGGGCTGGAGAGATGGCTCAGTGGTCTAAAGCACCTACTTGAAGCAGGCTTGGCAGAGCACAGGGACCGCGGTTCGATCCCCAGCACCACATGCCAGCCAGACCCGCCCCCTGGTGGGCTGAGCTGGCCATACACACACACAATAAATAAATGTAATAAATAAAATTAAATAAATATTAAAATAAAACCTACCTCTCTCAAACCCTAGAAAAAAAGACAAAATACATGATTCATGATTCATTCTTCACAAAGCTATTTATTCCACATTATATTGCTGAGATGTTCCTGATCCTCACAATTGAGTTTTTTTCTGATTAGTGGAGACCAAGTCAGCAAGCCCCATTTACCCAGTGGACCAGGCGTCAGGTACACAAGGCCAAGCTAGAGCACTATGGTTAGGGGCTCTGAGGAAGCTGGTTTGACCCAGGGGTAGCAGAGCAGCTATACGCTGCGCCCCCCACCCCCACATTCAAAGACACAGTTATTTGGGAAGGAATGACAACACACAGACCAAAGACAGCAGACAGAATCTGGCTGAGGAAGGAATGAAGCAACTAACGTTGCAGAGAGGTGGCAAAAGCTCTCTAGTGGACCATCTTCCTTAGATTCTTTTTTTTTTTTTTTTATGAATTTAGGACAGGGTCTACAGGGCCTCACTACGTAGATCGGACTCGTAGTGATTCTCCTGTTTTCAGCCTCCCAAGCACTGGGATTACAAGCACAGGTCACCATACCCAGTCTCAATTATTGTCTCAGCACGCCCCGTGGGCGGGCCAGCTTAGATGGAACCATGTCCCAGTGCTCTGCTGAAGCAGGCACTTTAGTCCGCTGTTCCTTACATTTCTGATGTGACTACAAAGGTCTCAGAAATTGCTGGCCCTGCCAGCCTCACAGTTCAGTTTGCATGAATGTGGGGCGGGCTAAGTAGGGATGGACAGCCAGGGAGAGGTGGGTAGGAAGTGCAGTGTGCAGAGGATGGGAAGGTAAATTAGAGCACCCCCACTGCAAGGCAAGACTAGCTATAGGAGGCAGGTGAGGGTGTGGTAAAAGGGCAAAAATTCTGCTACAAATGACACTGTGGCTTCTCCAGGCAGCCTTCAGTTCCATGACAGGCCTCTAGGGAAAAACTTCCCCAATACTCTATCTGATCTTGAAAGGCCAGACTAGATCTCCTGGGGTTACATCTCTAGCACTGGAGAGCTTCTGAATCCTGAGGGTAACCATTTCTGTGCCTAGAAATGGCCCTATGAATCAGAAGACCAGCCCACTATATCCAGCCAAGACTGTGGTTCATGCCTTCATTAACAGCCTGTACCCTTCCTAGGGGTCTGGCTTCATCCAGGGACTGGAGGGCACAGGCCTTCCCATAGGAATACTTGACCCATATCAGACCCCCTTTGCTCAGCAGTCTTGGCCAGGAATAAAAGTCCAGGTTGATTACCTACAGGTGAAGGAGCTAGCTTTTATTGGGGTCACAGTCACTGTTCCTTCCTGTGGCAGTACGAGGCTCCTCGGTCAGATCAGAGCTACATCCTCATCCAAGAACAGTGAGCACAGAAGGGCCTTAAGACTTCAGAACCCTGAAGGCTGGGAGAAGGGTTGCTAGCCATGTGAGTACATTCAGGACTCACAGCTGTTCTGCTCAAGACCTGGATGGTCTGGCACTGTAGCCCCAGTCTAGCCAGTATCTCTAATACCAGTGTGCAGTTGGGGGCTGGGCCTTGATTTCTTCCGGGAAAATGCCCTTCCACATGGGACTAGCCAACTTAATGAGCTCATCAGGTCACAGGCTCCACCACACAGGAAGAAGATTCCTAAGCCATGGTGGTGATTTCGAAGCAGTATTTTTCAGGTGAATCCTCAGGTCAGCATACCAGATGAGAAAGACCTTGGTAGCTTTGGCTTCCACTGTTTCATGTCCTTGCTCTTGACAATAGGTAGGAGAGGATGAAGAAGGCTACAAGCAGGCTCACAGCCATGCCACACAAAAGCTTCCGATTGTCACGTCCAGACCGTGCCATCATGGAGAACCGCTTCACGCTCCCCGTGAGCAGTCCAGTCACACTTGTGAAATCTGAATCCTGGGTGAGGGTAGCAGGATCACAAAGTGAACCATCTCAACTACCCCATCCCCCTCCAATCACTGGAGCAGATTTAGAACCAGTAGTACAAGGCAGACCTGACGGTTGGTCCTGCACCCTACAGACCCTTACCATATTGTCCAGGTACCGGTTCTGGTCTTCTGCATCCCTATCAATGTCCAGGGCCAGCTGGTGAGGACACAGAACAAGGTCAGGTTAAGGAAAACAAATAATACAGCACTCATTCTCCCCTCTGACAGCCATCCGTTGTCCATAACCCTGTGGTACTTCACGTTGACAGCACAAGCTACAAAGCTTAGTCTAAGCTGCCTGAAACCCCTCAGGGTCCTCTCCCTATCCTCTTAAGCCCTTGAGGTGGAAGTGAAAAATAAGAAAGGGTCCACCACTGACCGATTTAAGCCTGGTAACCTTGGAGGCCAGGCTGTCAGCCATCCGCTTGTTCTCCAGGTCTAGAATCTCCTCTACAGCACCAGAGTTCTGAGCTATGAAAAGACAAAAGTTAAGAAGTTTCTTCAACCCATTAGTGAAACCCCAACCCCCTCACTCCAAGTCTGGCCCAGTCACGTTTCCCAACACGTGGACCATGCACATGTGGGCCAGGAATGTAGCACTGCCCTGTGAGCAAAAGTCCTTCCTGCAGACCCAGGTGGAGGTGGGAAAGGGACCCCAGAGGCTCACTGCAAACAGCCCCTTCGGATGCTGTGCCAAAATATGCATTTCCCTAGGAATACTGGAAAGATGCACTTACCTGTGTGAACATCATCATCTGTGGCTAAAGGACAGTTCTCCAAGAAAAGGAGTGAACACTGGTAGGGGTGTAAGAAAGCGCATCTAGGAAGATGGCAGGAAGCCCCTTTATGACAAAAGAAGCAAATAAAGCTCCCCAAGAGCTATAAAGAGCGCCGAACTTAGCCTCCTGTGACAGCCATGGTGCCTGCGGAAACCTGACAGGAACAGGCCAGGTGAGGTGACCTCCCATGGCATGTCACGTGGGTGAAAACCGCCGCTCCCAAAAACAGTACAAATTCGCACTGGTCCGACGCACTGTGAGAACCGGCGATGTGACCCATGGCTGGGATGCAGCCGTAGGAAACACTGGCGCGTTCCAAGCCCCAAGGGTGGGTGCCAACCTACAAGCCATTATTTCTTTCACACAACAACGAGAAAGCTGCCTAGGCCCCAAGTCAGTGGGCGTCTGCTTGGGCCCAGGCCCACTGCACTCGCACCCGAGTGAGGTCCGGCCAAACCGAGGCTCCGCCGAGCCCAACAATCCCAGGCAAACCACCTGCCGCCCTCCCGGCTGCGGTCCCAGCGTAACACGGTCACCCCGACCCGGAAGACCGGTCCGCCACCTCACAGGGCCGGCGGGACGGCTCGGCCCCGCTCTAACGCGCTCACCCCGAGTCCAGTCCGCCATTGCGGTCAGTCAGCGCCCGCCGCTACTTCCCGAGCCGCAGCGAACGCCGCCGACGTGGCCCGAACCCCAGACTTCCGGCCCCCCCCCCCCGGCCTCCCCTTCTTCCGGGCGCGTCCGGCGGCGGGCCCGAGGCGGGTGCACCGCGGAACGGAAGTGATGTATTTTCGCCGCCCGCGGTCGAGGGCAGAGTGGGCGTCGGTTCTCGACCTCGCCGTTACTTTGGGCCGTGTTCTTCGTGCCCGGACGTGACTGTCAGCCAGATCCTTCGGTCTGCAGACGAGGGCGTGCCGGGAGCCCTGTGTTCTCGCGGCTGTGGCGGTCAGGCCTGCACTGGCGTGACCCAGGCCAGAAAACCTCTGGAAGGCGGATATGGGTGCTCAGGGCGTTGTATAAATGCAAGCGTGAAGAATTACGGGAAAATGAAACGAAGACACATAGAACCAAAACAGCCTTGAACGGTGCGCGCTCAGTAACCAGTGGACAGGCTGCAGGTACAGTCGCTGTCCCCATGGGCCTTTTCCGGTTGCCCTGCAGTCTTCAGCACACACTCTGAAGCAGCTCGCATCAAAGGGCGCCGAAACCTGGCTGGCAGCGTGTCTCCTTGCACCCTGCAGCCTCCTAGTTATCTCTTCAAGCACTCTGGGCGTCACAGTCCGTCTTGTTTTTTCTGTAAACACAAAGCCGGTGGCCGAGGCGTCATGTCGGCCAGTCTTCCTAACGCCTCCCATGCAGCAAGCTTTCCGCACCCAGCTGTTGCACTAGTAGTACTGGGTATCGGGCAAGAGTCTCTCCTGCTGGGACAAAGGAGAGGCCGCTGCTCGGTTTCTGGGTGACTTGGACCGTGAGTTTCACCCAGCACCGACTCGGCCTTCCTCGCCTAGCTAGTGCCTTTCTGTCGCTCCACCTTAAGCAGCCGCCCCGCTGGAGTCCCCGCCCAGTGTGGCCGGTCCCGGCATCCGTCGCGCGCCGACGCGCCCAGGCTAGGGCGGGGCCGACAGGCTAACCAGCTAGATTTTTGCGGGCCAGACCTCACGGCACCAGTTCCCGGGGCCATGGAGCCCCGGGTGGTTGCGGATGCAGTTGAGACTGGAGACGAAGATGTGATTGCAGAAGCTCTGAGAACGTACAACCAGGAGGTGAGTGGAGCTGGGTGCCCTTGGACATGAGTGGAGGGAGGGGTAGCGTTTGGGTGAACTGTAGGCAGAAGGTGAGTATGGCGCAGGCTCTAAGGTAGCATGATGGCCTGGTCCAAGATCTGCGGTGGGGTGGGGTGCCGAAAGCCCAGGGTGCTTCCCTTGGGGGGACAGCTGTGTGGGTGGCCACCGCCCAGACACCTGTTCGGAGGCAACAGGCTGCCCCACCCCCACCCCATCCCTCAAAAAGCACAATCCCTCCCTGCGTAAGGAAGACCTAAGCTCACTGTGTCTCTGCAGCACTCGGAAAGCTTCACCTTTGACGATGCCCAGCAAGAAGACAGAAAGGTGGGTGCTAGACCCAAGGGTAATGGGGAAGGGAGGGCTGCCCCCAAAACAGGGCCTGGTGGAGTCACTGTCCTCCCTGCCCACAGAGACTTGCAAAACTGCTGGCGTCTGTCCTGGAACAGGGCTTGCCACTTTCACACCGTGTCATCTGGCTGCAGACTGTACGAATCCTGTCCCGGGACCGTAGCTGCCTGGCTCCGTTCACCAGCCGCCAGAGCCTGCACACACTAGCCTCCTATGCTAACATATCTGCCTCTGAGGGGTCCCTCCCAGAGGCCTCTGATATGGGTGTTCTGCTGGAGTCCCTCAAGTGCTTGTGCAACCTTGTTCTCAGTAGCTCTGTGGCACAGGCACTTGCTGCTGAGGCCCGCCTGGTGGTGAAGCTTACAGAGCGTGTGGGGCTATATGGCAAGAGGAGCTTCCCCCATGAAGTGCAGTTCTTTGATCTGCGGCTCCTCTTTCTGCTAACTGCGCTACGCATTGATGTGCGCCAGCAGCTATTTCAGGAGCTGCATGGTGTACACTTGTTGACTGATACACTGGAGCTGACATTGGGAGTGACCTCTGAAGAGAGCCCCCCAGAAGTCCTTCCTCTCCAAGAGACCGAGCGGGTCATGGAGATCCTCAAAGTGCTCTTCAACATCACCTTTGACTCCATCAAGAGGGAAGTAGAGGAGGTAAGTTGTGGCCTGAAACTGAGGTGCAGCATCCTCACTTTAGCTGGGACACTTCATTGGTTTCTTCTATAATACCTTTAAGTTCCTGAGTGTCAGACATAGAAAACAATAGAATGTCCCAGGAGATACCTACTCCAGCAGCGGTCTTAAGGTTTCAGAGGGAGGTGGGAGCCTAGTAGGAAAAGTGTGAGATGCTTAAGGAGGCTGTAGGATATTCTCCACTTTTTTTTTTTTTTTTTTTTTTTTTAATGAGCAGAATATATTTATTCAGGGAAAGAAAGCTCCTGTCTCAGAGAGGGACAGGAGGGGGACCCCAGCGGATTGTTCCCGTTCTCCACATATGAGGCCATGTGTCACCAAGGTCTGAGATAACTTCATCCAAGGGGATCCACTAATATCTTAATCTGGAAAGTACTTAAAAGCATACTCATGGACTTTTTTGGAAAGATAGCAGTGACTGTCTTTAGCTCAGCACTGATCAAACTGGTCAGGATCACCAGATGTAGACAAGGATGTGCAGCAGCTGATGCAGAAGAATGAAACTCCCTCTCACAGGAACCCCTTCTGCTTTTGTCAGGAAGATGCTGCCCTCTACCAATACCTGGGGACCCTTTTGCGCCACTGTGTGATGATTGCTGCTGCTGGAGACCGCACAGAGGAGTTCCATGGGTGAGAGCACAGTGTGTCATGCAGGGAGAAGCTGGAGCTCCAGATGATGGTCCGTAAGTCTGACTGTGGACAAGAACCACTGGAGAGCCCAGACCCACCTGTAAAGTTCAGCTTTTTCAGGGGAGTCAGACATCACTGCTTCCTGAGAGCCTCAAGTGCTTCTAAGACATGGCAAGGACAAGATCTATGGGCTTAGGAGCAGAGTAGTTGTGGGCATGGTATCACAGGGCAATGTAGCCCCTCACCCGACTTGTGGCTAGACTGGTATGGGTTCCCAGAAATTGTTTGGTGCTTCAGCCTAGATATTCTGGGGCAGGTGGGGTTTCTGTGGAAGGTGCTGTCTCTTGGGATTCCATCACAAACCTGAGTGGGACTATCTCTGAGACAGTCCCTGTTCTTGTGTGTGGTCCTCTGTGCTGTTCTGAGGCCCCTCAGACCCTAGCTCACACCCTCAGCATCAGGGCTGGCACTTGTGCTGAAGGATCAGCCCCATCAATGCCTCTATGCATGTGTTCCCAGCCACACCGTGAATCTCCTAGGGAATTTGCCCCTCAAGTGCTTGGATGTCCTCCTTACCCTGGAGCTACATGAAGGCTCTTTGGAGTTCATGGGAGTGAACATGGATGTCATCAGTGTCCTCCTTTCCTTCCTAGAGAAGCGCTTACATCAGGTAGGCAACTGTGCTCACTGCTTCTGCACTGTCCATACTGGCAAGTGCAGGTCATCTTGGTGGTGTGATTTGGGCAATTTCTCCAGCTGCTCTGTGCTTCAGCCAAGTAGCAACTAAACCACTGGACCCTTCCTTTCTCAGAAGTATGTGGACACCTTGCATGTTTAAGGTCTCACTTCTACTGGTTACTACAAGCAACAAGTTTTTAGGGGTTTGACAAGGTGGTTGTTAACTTTTACCAGTTCTTTTATGTGGTCCTGGGAAGCCCCTGGTTCCCGCTTGTGATCCTCAGATACCTACTGTCTCTGTGTAATGACAGCCCTTGGTGCCAAGCATCAGCTGTTCCTTAACATCTTAAAGAGACTTACAGGAGCTTCTAACCAGAGCTTCCCTTTGACTTCTGCAGCGACATCACAGGACATCTGGATGACCAAAGTTCTAACCAGTCCTTCCTGAGTTTGCAAATGTTAAGCAGGAGAAAGCTACAAGTTGAGGTTCAGAGATTGTTGAGGAATCCATGTTGCTAGGCAAAGGATGCTCACAGTATGAGCCAGGCAGGGAAGGAGTAGGCATTGGGCACCTTGACTGTGGCCACCTGTCCCCACTGCTGTGGCTGCTGGTGTTAGGTTCCAGGGGAGGCTGAAGAGGGTTGGGAACTCTGCTTGTTGTCTCTGAGTTATAGAGTAGAAATTCTCTATTTTTGCTCACTTTCTGAGGACAGTGTGTGGCAGTGATATATTGACATCAGAGAACTTATGTCTTGTTCCTATTCTTGGTTGCTAGTTGAGGTAGTAATACTGAAAGCAATTTAGTGCCCCAAGTCATAAAACTTCCAGTAGGTTCATGAGTTAGGTCCTGTTCTCCCTTTGGAAGCTGACAAGACGCCTCTTGGTCCTTGACTGACTTGCTACCATAGGCTTCTTCACAAACCTTTGTGCCAGGACTGAAGGGTAAGTGCAGCCCCACCACTGCTTCAAGCTGGGGCAGTGACAGAGGCTCCTCTGCAGACCCACAGGCTGAAGGAGAGCGTGGCTCCTGTGCTAAGTGTGTTGACTGAGTGTGCCCGCATGCACCGTCCAGCCAGGAAGTTCCTGAAGGCCCAGGTACTTGGCAGAGGAGTCAGAGCACCTGGGGGATTGTGGGTGGGGCCTAGTCACAGACTGGATTTCTTCAATCCCTGGCTGAGGAACACTGCCTTCGTAGGTGTTGCCACCCCTTCGTGATGTAAGGACTCGTCCTGAGGTGGGAGAGCTACTTCGGAACAAGCTGGTGCGCCTCATGACACACCTGGACACAGATGTGAAGAGGGTAGCGGCGGAGTTCCTCTTTGTCCTGTGCTCTGAGAGTGGTGAGTGGGGCTAGCCTCAACCTAGCCTTCCCTGCCCACCAGCTCACACACTGACTTATGCCCTGGCCCCCAGTGCCCCGGTTCATCAAGTACACAGGCTATGGGAATGCTGCTGGCCTTCTGGCTGCCCGAGGCCTCATGGCAGGGGGCCGGACTGAGGGGCAGTACTCAGAGGATGAAGATACAGACACAGACGAGTACAAGGAAGCCAAGGACAGGTGTGTGCCTCTCTACATTTGGGTTTCCTTCACTTGATACCCAGCTACACCCCTGTGGTGGGCGGACAGGGTGAGGAGTGGATTAGGACTTCCAGAATAGGAATTTGGTCCAGAGTGACATGTCCTGATCTCTGAGCCTAAGGAACTTGGGTCCAGGATATCTGGATCACTGGGAGGACCATAGAGTAGCTGGCTAATGGCTGCTCCTGAAAGAGTTCCCTGCAGCTGCCATCCCTGTCCTCTACCATGGGCTCCTTGTCAGTCCAGGCATGGACAGGAAGATAGGGACCACATACCTCCCAAGCCCTCTTCTCCAGGAGTCCCTAACACATTCCCCATCCCTCTACCTGGGAAGCAGCATCAACCCAGTGACTGGCAGGGTGGAAGAGAAGCCACCAAACCCTATGGAGGGCATGACGGAGGAGCAGAAGGAGCATGAGGCCATGAAACTGGTGAACATGTTTGATAAGCTTTCCAGGTATGTATGGTAAAGAAAGGCCTATAGTGGGAGAAGAGAGGATAGATCCACATTCTGTCTTACAAGCTACCAGAAGGGGTCACAGAAGGACTAAGATGCTGGGCAGGCATTACTGGTGTTTGGAATCACCTGTCCTGAAAGAAATACCAGAAGAGTTAGGAAGAAGTCAGTATTGTACCCATTTTATAGTGGAGGAAGTCTGAGACCAAGAAAATAAGGCCTAACATCTAAACTTGAGCCTACTTAGCACAAAGTTGAACCCAAGCCTTGCCAGCAACAGAGATGAAAAAAGACACCGGCCTGGCATACTAGGTCCCTTCCTTGGCCCCACTGTGCCTTTCTCCTGCAGGCACAGAGTCATCCAGCCCATGGGGATGAGTCCCCAGGGTCACCTTACATCCCTGCAAGATGCCATGTATGAGACCATGGAGGGGCAGCTCTCCTCAGACCCGGATTCTGACCCTGACTGAGGACGGTGGTTCCCTTGCTCCATCTTCAGAATTGGTGCTGCTTCCAGAGATATTCTTGGGGTGGCAGCCTTGGGAAGCCCAGGCCCTCTCCACTGGACTCCCTTTCTCTCTGCCCCAAGTTCTGTTCATGATTTGCCTCTAATCCTATTTCTTATCTTGTGGACAATAGTAGAACTTGGCCCTGGTTTCCACAGATGAGGCTGGCCTGAGTGGGGAGCACATGATGTGAACTCATCTGGGGCTGGCACACTGCATTTCACAGGGGAAGGGATGTACTAGAGTTTCACCAGTGCACACACTGAACAGGGCTGCTCGTCCCTCCACATCTCCCTTGGTCCTGCCTCAGCCACCAATTAGAATGTCCACATACCATGTTCTCACTGGTTGTGATGGTGACAGTCGAAGAATGTCAATCCTATCCACTGCTCCTGACTAAATACTTATATGAAGGAAAATGACCTTCTTGAGACCATAAAATGAAACCCTAAGATTTCCAAGAGTCATAGAAACATCCTAGAATAAAGCAGTTTTGAGCAAGACTGTGTGAATGTATGTGTAAAATAGTTGAGACATTAAGTAGAAATAGAAACTAATTTTTTTTTCAGAATTCAACTCTTTTAGGATATCATGCATCTTTTGTTGTCAGTGAGAAATAAGGTCATCAGACTCCCGTGGCATCTGTTGGTTAGGTCTGTCTCTGTTAGCTCTGACCCTGTGCAGGCACTGCTTATGGCCAGATGCTTCCGCTTGATGCCGAGGAAGAGGACATGCACACAGGTGTGAGTTCTGTCAGCACCAACAAGTTTTTCCAGGGAGTGATACCTTCTGTGTGGATAGAACTGGCTCTGGTACCATTAGAGGAGGAAGGCATGGGGACAAGATAGACTGAGAAGTGCGGGACAGAATATCTGGAGGTGTGCCAGATGTGGTGGTGGGCAGCTGAAGCAGAAGGATCACTGCAAGTTCAACGCCAGCCTGAGCTACATAGTGAGACCCTGTCTCAAAAAATAAATAAAAATACCTAGAGCAGACAGGTGTGAATATCATATAGTAAGGTGAGCAGATATGACAGCCAGTAGAGAGAAAGGGAATATTTTGACAGGGCCAACTTGAGGGTGAATCCAAGGGGAGATGTGCTCAGTTCTGCCTGCTCCAAAAGGGGAAACCCATGTATTCTGAAGGCTCCACTTTGCATAGGCCTACCAACACCTGTTTGTTTGAGGAGACAAAAACAAGTGGATACCTATTTTTGATAATAAAATTATTTCACATAAGAATGAAGGATATGATTTTCTCTAAAAATAATCCAACTGCAGAGAACAACATGCTAGAAAACCCTAGTGTATCACCTGAGTCCAACTTCAGGTCTAACAAATACCAAGCTACCCTACAGACAGTCCAGGGTTCCAGCTGTCTGCTTATGTCCTAGAGGGTCATCCTCAGAACAAAATGCTTTACATGTGAGAGCAAAAGCTGACACACCAAACAGGACAGGCAGTTCCTTGGCAACTGGCCAAGTGGCCCCAAGCACAAACAGGTCCTGCCCAACAGCCATCCTGATGCAGCCTCAGGCATTCATGCTACCTCAGGCTGCTTGCTGCAGTTCAGCCACGATTTGTGAGTCTGCCCAGGCTGTCTTCAGAAATGGGATGTAGATAGGTGTGCCTGTCTCTTGGACACGGGACAGTCACTTCATATGTCTCGTCCATCCAGCTGGAAGAGAGAAAAGTTGGTTGGTACAACTTAGCGCTGAATCAAATATATATAGCTAAAGACAAAGTATTTCATGAAACTTTTCTCCTTGCAAACAAAAGAGAGTCCACCAGGCCTGACAGAACAGAGCTAATCTTCATTCGAAGGGATTTTAATTATCCAGTCAGGATGTACTGCCTATATGTTCAAAGACATTCACTCTTTGGAAAAGTCATCCCATGGATGGCAATTGTGGAAATTAAAATCATAACCTATTTTTCATAAATTCCTGTTGAAACTAGGAAAGAACAGGTAAAATCCGTAGGGCCTCTCGATAGGTCATATTCTGTTGTCTAAATTCTCTGTTCCCAACACAAAGCAAGCCAGTAGCATCTAATAAGCTTTTGTCTGTATTCCTTTATAGTGAGATGAGAAATGACACCAGCCTACATCTTAGCTCTAAGAAACGAGACTTTCAGGGGAACACCAAAACTAATAGTAATGTCTAGCAAGCAGAAACAATTAATGCTAAATTTCCTACCCTTAATAAGTCATAGTCACTATTGGGTGTAAAATCAGGCTGTACCCTGAGGGTGGGGACTTCTGCCAATAGAGAAAGCACGGGCTTGTCATGGTCATGCAGCAGGCACAGCTGGAGACAACAGAAAGGGTCAGGGTTTCTTAAGGTATCTAACTTACGGACAACATCAACTACAATAT